TGGACGAGGCGTTAAAAATGATGAAGAGTAGTGAAGCAATGAGTGTGGGAAGTTGGATTGATTTGATGAGTGGTGAGTAATGTTCTCCCCGTCTTTCTCTGAATAGCCCAGTCCTCGTGAGAATAGATATTTATCATGGTTTACAACTATTTTTGCTTAAACGATACACATATTTTTGTTCTTTTTTTGTGTTATTAATATGAAATATTAATCTCATATCCTAACACAATCGTTTACTTTACCTAAGATGTGAACTCTCCGATGCATGAATTTAATATGGTCACGCGCCAAACTCAGCTTTCAATGTTTTCTAAACTTCAATTCATTTTCTATCAGGTGAAACCTGGAATGTACTAAAGATTGGATACCAATTGAAGCAAGTACGCGAACGTTTAGCAAAAGGCCTAGTAGATAAAGGCATTCTGAGAACCGAGAAACGAAACTTTTTGCTTTTTGACATGGCGACACACCCCGTCAGTGATTCTTCAGCAAAGGACGAAATTGTAAAACGGGCTATTAAAACATTAACCCAGGTCAACAATTCTGCGATACCATTAGAAACAGAAACACCGTTTAGCTATTTACGCACTATATCTATGGTGTGCGCTGCATATGCTGCAAACGTCTTGGAAAATGCTTTGTTGCAACTAAATCACGAGATGCGAGAGAGAGCATACACAAAGGTTGACGAGTTACTAAGTGAATATTCCGTTTGGCCTTTTCAAAAGAAATCTAAAGCAGATATCCCTGAGGGAAAGGAGTTGCAAATTGAGGTTGTGGCTGCAGTCCTAAATGTATTTACGAAGATGGATAGTATCTTGTAATTTCTAAAACATGTTATTCGTAATTACTAGTATTCTTCTTGTTTTTATATTTTGTTTTATTAGTTGCTATTATTTAATTATGGACGTTTATATCTCTTGATGTATAGAGAACCTAATTTCTTGGGTTGTTTTTCGTTGATTCTTGTGACTTTTCGTTACGTGTTGATTTATTATTCACACGGAGTTTATTGGTCTGGTGGGAATGTATAATATTTATTCTACCGATGTCTTTCCAGTTCCTTTTTGGAATAGGGCGGTCGATTCATTAATACAATACTGTTAACTTTAAATAATAGTGTTATACTACGAAAAGTATTTAAATACATATAAACCTTTGAATCACAAATATCATGCAATCAGAGTTTTCTGTGGAAGGACGACTTTGTATAGATTGCCAAAATTGGAAACTGGCTGAAATGTGAAAGCCATCCATTATTTATAAGGTAGAAATTGTATATTAAAGAAATTTTGTGATTTTTTTGTAAAATAAAATATTTTATTTTATTACAAACGAGTTGTTTTTTAAAATAAATTTGATTGTTTAATAATATAATTACTCAAACAAAATGTTAAACTTAGTATATTAATTTTTGCTAAATATATATATATGGGACAGGTGCTCTGTAAAATTACATTGTATAAAAGTAGGGTCTGAAAAATCATATTTATCATTTTCATTACCTTCAAAAACAATTATCCATATACATTGTATTAATTTTTATAATCATTATTCTCAATTATTTAATATAGTACATATATTTTAATCTTTAAATTAATTGATTTTTTTTTAAAAAAAAAAAATTATAAATTTTTTTATTAATTTAATTTAACTTTATTTTACCTTAAAATAAATTGAAAAAATAATTTAATATTACAAATAAAATTCTGTTATACTTCAAATTTTATATTCAAATTTTTTGAAAACTGTAATTAATTTTTACTTTCTAACTATTATATTTATTATAATAATCAATATTATGTTTAGTAAATAAGAATTTGTATTTTTATTTTTATTTTTAGGACATTAGATCAAGATTTTATTAGATATATTTAAATATCACTATCCATATATTAAGTATCTTTATAAGCTAAACTATTTTTATTTTAGATATAAATTAATATTATCTAATTAGTTCATTTTCAATACTATTGTTTTTTCATTTACCAAGTCAATTATCCTGGTTGATCAGCTTACATCCAATAGATGAGTTTATATTAGGTAGGACTTATATAGAATAGAGAAAGTTTTATTACTAGTTTAAAACTACTTTTCATTTATTCAATAATATTTTTTGGCTACTTGTCAGAAAAAGATTATATAAAATATTATTATAAAAATTAACTTCAATATTTCAATTACTATTATTATTAATTCTCAAAATACAACATTAATATAAAGATTCTAATGATTCAATTCAATTTGATTCTTGATTCTCAATTCTCAGGTTTATATTAAATTTATTATATAAGTTATAACCTATTATCATTTTTAATAATGTTTCAAATTTCATATAAGTCTATATGAGTCTGTTTGATTCTAATTTTTAGGATTATACATAATATAATATTGCATTACTATTTTTACTACCTATGAAACTAATATTTTTGTTTGAATTCTAATTTAATCTTGAAAATTCCTATTAAACTTTTTTTTTTTTTTTTTTTTAACTAGGTGGTGTATACCTTGCTTTATTAAGTTTATTTGATTGAGTATGTACAAATCTATTTTATACAAATTTCCCACTCATTTTTCCTAAATAAAGCTCACTAAGGAACTTTTCTACCATACGGCTTATTGCTAAATACTGGCATATACTTAGCTAATTTGCCAAGACTCTACCTGTTCCAAATAAAAATAGTGTCGAATAAGTAAATTGTGTTTCAGTTGATCCAGTCATAGCTGGTTTGTTTGATGATTTTGTTAAGTCCTGATATAAAGGTTTTGTTTTGGCTTATCTTTTTCTTGTTAATGCTTCATCTTTTCTTGTCTTTTTTTGTTATGTTGTTTTCATTTTCCCATTTGGCAAAGTGTTCATATTTGTTTTTCTATTTGAAGTGAAGTTCTGTTAGAAACCTGTGTATAATTTGACCTATCGTTTCTGTTTGTTTGTCTTTGTCTATATGTTTTTTGATTATATGTATTAGTTTGAATGTGAGCGCTCCTCTCACGACGCAATTCTGGATTTCTTGGGTCCATAACTCTTGGTGTTCTTTTATTTCTTTGAAGAGCTTATATTCTAGTTTTACAGCTGTTCAACTGCTGACTTCTTTGTTTATAATTTGGTTGAATGTCTTGATGATATCGTTTCTGTTTTATGCACAGGTCATGCAATGTGTGTTTGATTCTGTGTCTTGATTACACATGATGCATCTGTCGTTAGAGTACGTTGTGTTGGATCTTTGATATAGTTTATCTTTTGTTGGAAGTTCCAGATTCCATAATTTTAGTCTGAAGAATCTTGCATTGTGGTCTTCTCGGTTTTTTGTTCCTGTTGTGATTTTTGAAGGATGTTTGTGTGTCATGGATTTTAACCAATTGATATCTTCTAGTGTGCATCGGTTCGTGATTATTGTTAGGTTGCGGTTGAGCATTCTCCAGCTGAATATGTATTTGGTTCTGGCGATGTTCTTGTATGTTTGTGTTATTGTGTTCTCTAAGA